AGGGGGGTCATACTGGAAGGCCGAAGAAAGAAAATGCTCATCAAGATAAAATCATCTGCAAACAACATTATGAAACAAACGTCAACTTTGAAATAGATGTTGCAACATCCCGCTATTACTTCCTCAAGTTTCAGAAGAAATTATCTTTCGCAATGAAGTGCTTAGCCTGAAGGGGAGTCTTGGAGCAACGTAAAAGTTGCCTCCTTGTGACCTATTAGGTCACGGTTTCGAGCCCTGGAATCAGTCAGTGATGCTTAGGTAGGCTGCCTAAATCACACCTTCTTGCCTTCTCGGCTCTTGGGGTGCGGCCTTCCCGGACCTTGCGAGTACATGGGATGCTTCGCACCAACCCTTTTTTCTTATAAATAAAATGCTTAGCCTGAGCTTGACTAACTTGAGTCAAACTTTCTAGTTGGCATATTTTTTTATTAAGTAATAATATTATTTGATTAGGGACAATTACAATATACAAGCAATATAATAAAAAGTAGAGAACCTACTTGTAGTTTATAATCAACTTAATCTTGGGGCAACTAATTTGAGCTTGACCTATATCATGATTGCTCAGTACCTTTTCAATACAATTTCTAAAATTATTGTACATCAGATTAAGATATCAAGCACATCCATTACAATTCTGGAAAATGTCAATGCACGTTAACAAAGACCAAAGACATTCAAAGATTAAGAATTTATGTAGCAACTCTACATGCTAAAATATTACTGTATTTTTTTTCTTCTTTTTTTAAGCTGGTGAAGAAGTTAGCATAGTTAGGGCTACGAGAAGAGAAATCAGTTGTCTCTGTCTGCTTTAGACAACAAAGCAGCACAACCACCTTACTCCCTAGACTTTGTGAAGACAAAATTTTCATTTCGCACAGCATATGTATGTCGAATTGAACCTGTTTAACACAAATTTTGTACTTTCTAGCCAACTTGAACAAGTAACAAGCAAAAGATAATAGTGATCAAGTCGAGCCTGAGTGCTGTTATAGTGTTATCATGAGTTGGTTAAGCTATGCTACATCCAAGTCAAGCTCGAGCAAGTAGGTTTATGAAACAACTCAAGTACACGCACACCTGAGGTATCTGTCTGATAAAGACCAGTACATTTAATATGACCATGACAGTAAGGTTAAGATCCATCAGAGAAAAACTTACCGCTAATTTTGAAGTGGCTTTGAGCTGATTAATCATTAATGGAAGGGTTATACATCGAATAAGAATAGTTGTAGCGATTATTGATGCCCACCTGAAATATATTTCCAAAATGAAGTCGTCAGTCATTTCGTGACAATATAAAGCACAAGTTGATTTTAACTTGTGAATGTTGCATTACAACAGCACAACCAAAAGAGAGAAACAAACTATGAACGTTAAGGTTTCCTAAGTATTTCAGATGAAACATTTCCTATATCTGTCAAAATTCCGAAATTAAAAATACATCAAAAGTTACAAAAAGAAAAGAAAAAACTTCAATATACGCAAGGGTCCTCAAGTGTTTAGAATTAAACAGTTCTACAGTAAGAGTTCCAGCAAACATCTGTCCATCTCCCGATTAATAAATGTCCAAAAACTAAATCAATCTACGTGACATACTATAAATTCAAAATATTGTCTCAAATTAAACCTCAACGTTTTATTACCCTGTCAAGTTCTGGAAACACACATGCACACATTTTTACATATGAAATACAAGTAAATAGATTCATAAACCATATTATCCCTCTCTTTCTCACCTAAAAATTCAGAGACATATCAAGGATTTGAACATTATGGTTTCGAGTTTGGGATTCAATACCAGAACTTATTTGATTTGCTGGGTTTGAAATCAATTATTTCTACTTCTTTAATAAATTTATACAAGATCGAGCCAAAGCTACCCATAACTTACACTCTACATCCGCCTCTGCCAAAATTTTATCAAAAGAGGAATAACTATACCACACTCTTTCCTTTTTACTACTACATCAATTGAAACAACAAGCTATCTACCATGCTATTCTTACCAATCAATAACAACAACAACTACTACTACTACGACGCCTTAAGCTCAAACAAGTTGTGGTCGGCTATATAAATGCTCACTGACCACGTTACTCCATTCAAACTCATCTCATGCCAATATTATGCAAAATAGAAATAAAAAATTAATCTTACCAATCAAATCCAGTAAAAAAATGAACATAATCAATCAAGTACTGCAACACCTGCACGGGCAAATATGACTCAGCAGCAGCAACTGCCACCTCATTCACTGCTGGAACTTGAGAAGTTACAACCTCGACAGCCTTATCTGCCAGCTCAGCAACTTCACTTATGTACTCTATCTTTTCTGCTCCACCACCACTAACACTACTAGACATATTCCTAGTGAACACTGAACCAAAATTCATACAAATCATGTGTTGGGAAGGGCGAAATGTTCGATCTTGAAATGAGCTTTGGGGCCCATTGAAACTGTTAATTCCACTTTTCACATAATGGGGTTGGAAAAAAGTGGAAAATCTTGGATTTTTACACGTGGGTTCTTGACTTATTTTATCATCATCATGTGGATAATGAAATGCTGGTGTAATAACTCTTTGTTGTTGATAAAGAAACTTAGCTCTTGTTGTTAAGTTCCTCCTATAAGCCATTTGAATTTGCTTCCTTCAAAAAAGAGAAATTTTTAGCTGCACAAATTAGTACATCAAACACCAAAGATTAAACCTTTATAATTCTTCATAAATGGGTGTTAAGAGTTACTCGATATATGTGCTGGCTCGGACACCACAGTCACAAAAAATAAGAAAGAAAAACTGAATCTTTATAATCATTCAACTATAAAGGGTAGCATGATACACTAAGCTCCCGCTATGTACGAGGTCGGGAAGGGCCGGACCACAAGGGTCTATTGTATGCAGTCTTACCCTGCATTTTTGCAAGAGCCTCTTTGCAAGGCTCGAACCCGTGACCTCCTGGTCACATGGCATCAACTTTAACCGTTACGGCAACGCTCCCCTTCAATCATTCAGCAACTATGATGCATAGAAAATATCTAATAAAGACATAGGCGGATCCAACATATATGTATATCTATATATTGTCTTCAAAAAGAAGAAGAAAAATCAGCTGAACAAGTTGGTAAATCAAACACCAAAAAAGATCAAAACTTTATTATCATTCAGTAACTATGATACAGAGAAAATACCTAAAATCGAAGAATAAGAAATCAATATTCAAAACTATAATTTCAGATCCCAATTATTTGTATTGACAATTCAAAACATAGAGAATAACAGCTTACAGTTAATTACACCGAACTGCTAAAATGGGCAGGGTTTTTCGGTTTTTTGGGGTTTTAGGAGCAAGATGGTGTCAGCCAGTAGAAGTGATAATACAAAAATAGCCCTGGCGCAAATTATCTCTTTATAAAAATTACACTAAACACCCCTGTAATATAACTCAATTATACTCACACCCCCTGCATTACAAAATCAAACACTTTAAATTATTTAGTGTAATTAACCTTATCTTCTCTAAATCAAAGTTAAGCTGTAACCAGTTACAATTTGAATATGTAAACAAAAATTGGCCAATTTGAATGTGTAACCTATTTTGTTACATATAACTGATTATTCGCCTATTAGTATTTGTTACATATAACCGGTTATAATTTGTTGCTTATAATTTTTAAAACGATTTGTCCAATTGAAGAAAAAAAAGAACTTCATTATTCGTTACATATTAATTTTTTCTCAAAATTTTAGCTCTTCATTTATAATTCTTGAATAGAGAATGACTTTTAACAGAAATTTTTCTCATACATAGTATTGAGTTATTCCTCAATATAGCATAACACATATTTATTAAAGGTGTAGAAAAATTGAATTGATAAAACATATTAAGCACACTTGAAGTTTTATATTTATCAAATAGCAACAATAATTTTTTACATTTATCTAGAAAATTGAGCAATTATTAGTTATATAAGGAGTTACAATCAAAAGAGATACTTTTCGTTAAGTTATTTTCGATCGGAGAATTATATGTAGCTAGTAAAGAGAAACACTAAATTTGTACATTTATTAAAGAAATTGATAATCATTGATTATATAAGGAGTTACCATCTCGAGGAAAACTTTTTTTAAAATTATTCTCTATCGAAGAACTTATATGTAGCTAATACGAAAGTCCAAAACGGTGGAAAGAAAATGTAGAAAACAAGTAAATCGCAGTTGGGACTTATAAATCGCGATTAAGGATATGTATGATAGAGCAAAATCCCGGGTTTAGGTCTTTGGGAGGTGACTCGGGATACTTTCCGGTCGTGATGGGGTTGCACCATCATTCAATTCTTACCCGTTCTTGTTCGTTTCAGCGATGGATGTATTGACGCGGCACATCCAGGAGGAGGTGCCATGGTGCATGTTATGTGCTAATAAGATAGTGCTGATTGACGAGAGGGAGGTGAAGTTAATACTAGGTTGGAGGTTTGGAGAGAAACCCTCAAGGGCGTATACACCTTGTCCTATGCGGTGTTACGGGACACCGCTTCGTCGATTTTTTTTACTAGTTATATATAAGAGAAATAAAAATTGAGTGTAAATATAGAAAATGACACATCTTACAACTATAATAAGTTATTTATTTGTTCATCTCTTCAAATTTTGACACCGTTTATGAAAAATTCTGCGTACACCACTGCAAACCCTAGAAGCTAAAGATTTCAGGTTGAGCATGACTAAAACTGAATACATGGAGTGCAAGTTCAATGGCATTACTCATGAGGATGTAGTGTAAGTAAGTCTTGATTCACAAGTTATCCCCTAGATGGGTAGATTCAAGTATCTTGGTCAGTAACCAAGGTAACCAGAAAATTGACGCACACCATATTGGAGCAGTTTGGATGAAATATAGGCTTGTTTCTGATGTCTTGTGTGATAAGAAGGTGCCACCAAGACTTAAAGGCAAGTTCTACAGAGTGGTGGTTAGACCGACCTTGTTAGATGGGGTGAAGAGGGTTAGTTAAGAACGCACATGTCCAAATGATGAAAGTAGTGGAAATGAGAATGCTGAGATGGATGTATGGGCATACTATGAGAGATAGGATCAGCAATGAAGATATTCAGGACAAGGTGGGGGTGGCCCCCCATGGAAGAGAAGATGCGGTAAGTGCGCTGAGATGGTACGAGCATGTGAAGAGGAGAAGCTCGGATGCCATAGTAAGGATGGGTAAGAGATTGGACATGTTGGGTTTCAAGAGGGGTAGAGGAAGGCTTAAGAAATATTAGGGAGAGGTGATTAGGCATGACATGACGCATCTTCAGCTTACTGAGGACATGATCCTAGATAGGAGATTGTGGAGGTCGATGATAGCTTAATTGTAGGAATTCTCTTAAGAACTCGAGGATCAACCAGCTGACTCAAGAACTTAAGCAGAAGTTCGAGAATTTCAACAATGGCGACGAGAAGAACTGTGGATTTGAGAGAATTATGAGAGAAGAGATTATTTAGGAAAATTGTAATTGAATTCTTATTCATTTCTGTGTCTTACACTGTACTTGTATGAAATGGAAAGAATACAACTTGTCTAACAGAATTTGTTCTCCTAACAACTCGCAACACTAACTCCAACTAACTTCTCCTGATCCTTGTGGTAAGTGTTAACCATGCCTATTTCACCAGTCCTTGTCCTACAGCTTTGTTTTCTTTCTTTACCATCCTTCTTTGTAATTGTTGCGGTCAAACGCACACGCAAGTATACGCGGTCGTCAAGTAATAAAGTGACTAAAAGTCGGATGTCGATCCCACGAGGACTTGTGATTAACTATTAACTAAATTAGACTATCCTGATTATCTAAACAAGAATTAAACCTAGAAATATTTGATTCTAAACTAATTAAAATAAATAAGAACAAATAATGAACTTTGAACAGAGAAAGAGCAGTTTTTTATGATATCAATGTAATGAAAACGATCTAGGGTTATGGGCTATTTAACATTCCTATTGTATTCTTCAATTGAATTGAATAACTAATTTATCTAGTTTATTGGTTGACAGGGTTAATATTGCTCATAAGAATCTGTCGAGTTCTTACTCGCCTATTCAAGCTAACCTAACGCCTATATGTCTATGGAGTTAGAATCAACAAGAACGCATTTATAATTCCTGTAAATCAACGAAGCAAGGCAATTAGGTATATGTCTATCCTAACCGCGAATCGGTTCTCCGATGCCCAGGTTCAAGAACTTGCTCTACTCAATCCTATATGCAATCTAGAATTCCTACTTTCGAGTTCAACTCTAGATTCGTAGATAGTATTCAATTGGTGATCAAGCAATCAAATAATTAAGTGCAGGATTGAATAAATAAACCAATATGATAAACTAAGAAATCAAAATCAATATCCGAATAACAATAGTCATGAAAGAACCACAACCCTAGAACGTGAAGTTTAACTCCACATAGACATGGTAGCAAAACAACAAATTATACAAAGAAACATAATAAGACTAAGTTGGTGGAAGAAAAGATGAAACCCGGCCTCCACGGCGGCTCTGTGCTTGTGTTTTCCTCTCAAAAACGTCCTCCTATGTATATATACCAAGTAGGGTTGGGCCCAAACAATTATACCTTCTCCAATGTGAAAAGGACACTTTTTCCGGGTGACTAGCGCGAGCTCGCGCATCCGTCGCGCATGACTTCTGACATTCTGCCTCCAGCTCCTTAACTCGCGCGACTTCGCGCTAGAGCTCGTTTTTCACCCTGTTCCGTTCCGAATTTGGAAAAACATAAGACATGAAAGTTGTAGCACTTTGAGTTAGTTTTCCAACCATATATTGTGGAGCCAAAATGCAGTTCTGAGCAAAAAAGTTATATCTATTTTACTAGACAGTGCACAATATGCCTACTGGAGTCTTCGTTCGCTCTAACTATCATCCGTTGACCCCCAAACACGATCCCGACTTAATTCCTTGAACTTTTACTCAAACTTTAAAGCCCCAAATCACTTGAATTCATTCCATAATATCTACATAGCTCGGAATCACTCCTACAAGGCATAAAACACACCATTAGTGCAAAACACTAGCGATTAAAGCTCAAACTCAATTTAAGTGCAGTAAATTAGAGTGTAATAAACGACTAAAATACGTAATTATAGCTTATCATCAGTAATATAGTCTCTAGGTTTGGACAATGTGGGCTGGCAATGTCAGTGGTGGGAGGGTATGCAATTTGAGTGAGTTGCTGGTGGCATTTCTTTAATAGTGATACATGAATAATTGGGTGTATTCTAACAGATAGTGGAAACAGTATGGTATATGCAATTGGTCATACTTTTTTGGAAATTTGAAAGGGTCCATAATACTTTGCAGCTAACTTATGTAATGGTTGTGCTCACACGTAGCTTGTTTATATGGTTAAATCTTTAAATAAACCCAAACTCCAACTGCAAATTATCAGTCACCTATGAGCATTAGCTTGTTGTTTCAAATGTTGTTTGAGCAGTTGCAACTTCAGCTCCATTGATCAGTGTATTGTCAACTTCAATTGAGGTTGATTCACCTGGCAAGTAAGGAAGGTGCAAGGGGGAGGTATGCCATATAGAACTAGGAGTGGTTTTAATAGTTGAATTGTGGGATGTATTGCACCAGTATTCAGTCATACGTCACCAAGAATACTATTTGGAGCAGTCCTTATTGCACAAACATCTGAGATATGTTTCCAAGAATTTGTTTAGAACTTCAGTTTTCCTATCAGACTGAGGATGATAGGATGAGGAAGTGTTCAATTGCACCCATTGTATTGAGAACAGCTCTTGCCAGAATGGACTCAAAAACACTACATCTCTCTCACCAACAATCGAGTTTGGAAGACCATGCAATTTAACTATGTTATCCAATAATACTTTGGCTACTGATTTGGCAGTGTAAGGATGCCTCAAGGGAATGAAATGACCATACTTACTTAGTCTGTCCACAACCACAAAAATGACTCCATAACCATGGGACTTGGGTAAACAATCTATAAAGTCCATACTAATTTATGACCACACCGCATCTGGAATAGGTAGTGGTTGTAGAAGGCCAGGGTAGGCTGCTAGATCAGATTTGCTTCTTTGATATGTGTCACATCCATACACAAATAACCGGACATTCTTCTTGATTTCGTTCCAGTAAAATAGTGTCATGAGCCTTTTTAATGTTGCTTCAATGCCTGAATGACCTCCTTGTGGTGTAGAATGCCATAGCCCAATGATGTGTGCTCTCAACTGCTGAATGTTTTGCCCA